TGTGTGCACGCGTGCGCTTGTGTGTGTGTGTGTGTGTGTGTGTGTGTGTGTGTGTGTGTTTATGTGTGAGTTTGCGTGTATATGTGTGTGTTTTTGTTTGTTTGTTTTGTTTTTGTTTTTGCTTTTTTGGGGGGTAAGTGCTTACGGTCGTATAAGCGCCCTGGACACATTAAACATTTTTAGATTGTAGGAAATTTTGAATTTTGTCCGGGTGGCTGCCGAAGCCTACTCGTATTGATTTTGCACCACCAGGGGATCTTTAACGTGCACAACTTGCACTCGGGACCTCTGAGATTTTTCGCCCTTGTCTGAGAAGGCTGGGTGAAGATCTTTCCTCCCAAAAGATCAGGGGTGTTACTGAAAGACAGCAATAAGAAAGAGCCAAGGAGTAGCTGCAGAAAGGCTGCAGAAAGAGTCAGGCGCCCAGAGGAGGGGGTAAAGGAGGTGAAGGGGTGGCAGGCGCGGTTCGTCCATAGAACACGGTCGTGCAGCGCGCCCAACATAATTTTTTAAAGTTGTATTACGTAATACACCCTTTATATTAACATAAAAGAAGCCAGAAACAAACACTAGCCAAATATTATATCAAAACAAGGTCCTCACTGGCGCCATAACTGTCATTTCTGTGTCTATAGTCCACACGCTTGAGCTTAACATAATAGGATATTAAACAGTGTAACCTGACCTATAGATCGCTCTTGGGGATAACCCTAGCGATGACGACACTCGTAGCGAGTTTAGCGGTACATTAATATTAATAAGACGGCACATCTCAAATGTGCTCCTGCCGAATAGTGCTGAAACATAGCCCACAGTAGGCAGTCTAAAAATAAACCGATAGACCGTACGCTATTCTTTGCCAATATTATTATTATGTGAGCCCCGGAGCAATCCAGCGGAGTGCTCAAGTGAATTGTGATTGGTTCATTGTTTGTCTTGCCACTATTTTAAGTAACTCTGTGACCATGAACCTGAGGGAGTTTTGCCATTGAATGGTTTTGTAGTGGAGTAGTGAAAATTATTACTTGAGTGTTCAGTTTCAATACAGGATGAACGATATTAATGTTTAGCTAACAAACAAATTTAGTACTTTTGGCGTCTCTGGCCTAGTGGTTAGGCTCTCGAACTCTCAACCGTAAGGTCGTGGGTTCGAATCCCGTCAGGGACCCGACGTTGTGTCCTTGGGAAAGGCACTTTAAACGAATTTTCCTCACTTCACCCAGGTGGGAATGAGTACCCGGCTATAGACAGCGAAAGATCTTGTCAGTTTGTTAGTGTTTGAGCGCTTAATCAGCTGCTTGCACTGTATGCTTCCCGGGAAGCTGAGAATGTTTCGTAGTGTTCTATGGTCTGCCGGGGCAATAATATAGTGTAAAGCGCATAGAGCCTGCTGTTGAGCGGAGATATGCGCTATACAAATGCTATTTATTATTATTATTATTATTTATTATTACTTAAAATTAAAGTGACACGTAAAAAGTATGAAAATAAAAACACGAGGTCCTCCCTCACCAACCCAAAGATCCTGAAATTATACACTGTCTCACTCACTATGCCCTTGACTATCTTCAGCCTGCGATAGCTTAATTGTGCACGTCCACTTTTTAGCCCCACGAGCCACCCCTGGGGGGGGGGGGGGGGGGGGGGGGGGGACAAAAAGTGAAAACGAAAACAGACAACATAAAATTGCAAGATGTGAGGGGAGACAATTTTTTTAGAGAAGAAAAATGTTCAGTCGCTATCCGGATTCTAACCATGAACCTATTGAATGTGAGGCGAACACCTTAACTTCTAGGCAATGAGAGCCCACGTGTTTGTGTATATGTGTGTGTGTGCGTGTGTGTGTGTGTGTGTGTGTGTATAGTGTGTGTATGTGTGTGTGTGTGTGTGTGCGTGTGTGTGTGTGTGTGCGTGCGTGCGTGTGTGTGTATGTGTGTGTATGTGTGTGTGTGTGTGTGTGTGTGTGTGTGTGTGTGTGTGTGTGTGTGTGTGTGTGTGTGTGTGCACGCGTGTGTACATATGCCTGCGAGGCTGCTATTCTATGTTATGATTCTACGTATTTATAGATGAGTTGCTCAAGTAAAGGGGAAGGCCTAAATGAAATACTGGCTGAATGAACTGGCGATGGTCACTGGATCATAAATTTCACACCGCTTTGAAGGTGATTGAGTCACTTTAACCCACCAGGATAAAAATGCATAGGTCACCAGAAATAAAACGGCATAAAACCACTATACACCAAAGTAGGTTGCTGTGTCCTAGTTGAAAGAGAACTGGCTACACCTTTTGAAATAAATACTGGAGTTACACAAGGCTGTATAATATTGCCTATACTTTTTGAAATATAAACTGATTTTTTTTAAATAATGAGACAGAGCAGAGACATCGAAATAGGTATTAGATAGACAAATGCCACACACCTGAGAGATTTAGGTTCTTGCGGGTGGCATTTGTTCATTAAACACCACAGCGCATGAGATGTAATTAGAAACCGATTAATTAGTACGATCTGCCTTGTAATAATTATTTTCCCAAACAGAAATTCTGCAATTATCACCAGAAACTACCACCATCACTCTTTATGCAGAACTTCTAGCAGAACTTAATAAATTCAAGCATCTTGGCAACATTGTTTATACAACTGCAGACTGCATTAACGATGTCCATCAAAGACTTAAAAATGAGTGGATCGCTTTTGTCAAATTTAAAAACATTTGAAATTAAGTTATCATTTAAATGAAAACTAAATTCAAAATATTATATAATAGCAATGATGTTGCGGTACTGGTGGTTCAGAAGTTTTGAAAACAAACAAAGCAATTCAACGAAAATAGAAAATCTTTCTTTCAAAATGTGTACGCAGAAGAGACTAATCTTATTAATAAAATAAAATTAATTCCTCACAAATATTGACATTTTCGAAAGTGCATGGACTGAAGATATAAACGCAACCTTAAAAATGAGAAGATGTAAGAGCATGTATTTTGACAATACCGATTATCCGAAATGGAACTCGAGACCAACAGAAAAAAATAAGAAGCAGGACACTATCTGAAAGTTACAGAATCACAGCCGGGAATGAAGCAATCACCCAGGATCTAAATGTGCCAAAGTTGGGGGGTGGGAGGGGGGGGGGGGAGTCAGTGGCTTAGCGGTTAGGCTGCCGGACCTGTAGGCTAATCGTGAGATTGCAGGTTCGTGAGTTCGAGCGTCATCTCGGTCCGACGTTGTGTCATCGGGAAAGGTACTTTACACGAATTTCCCCTTTTGGCTCGCTCCTTTCGGAGATGGACGTTAAACTTGAAAGCCCTGCCTCTTAAACAAGCTAATAGCGTTGATAGGGGTGTTAAACTTACACCATTTCACCATTTTTGTCAAGGTTAGGGGAAGTGACGAGTGACAGACATGCGTGGCATGACGGCTCTCTACCTTGTGTTCCTGACGGTACAGGGAGAGACAAAAAAAGTAAGTATGTAACCCTGTGTCACTGTGGTCAGTTTAGTCGTGAGTTTCAACCCTGGTACCCTTCAAAACCCTCAAACCTTGAACTTTTAGGTGTCATGCCCAGTTGCAAAAGCCTTTCGATGTGTGGGGAGGAGGATGATTGTTTTTGTTTGTTTGTTTGCTTGCTCGCTTGTTTTGTTTGCTCGTTTGTTTGTTTGCTTTTTGTGTGATAATTGAGTAAAGAAAAGCACATCGACACAATAATTGCCATTTAGTGCGTGGAAAAAGTAAGACAGACAAATAGAAACAACAGAGGGCAAATAAAGAAGTGGGACCTATCAGTGGCGCCCTCCAACCACCCACGAGGAAGAGTCTTAAATGACAAAACGCAACGGCTTTTGCTTGATAAAAGATAGGGTACATGACATGCCACGGGCAAAAACGTTGACTGAAAATATGTCGTGTCATTGTTATCACGTTGGTAATCAGTCGAGCTCACCCAAGACGACCACTCGTTGTAAAGGAGAAAATTAAAATTTGTCAGCTTAGACAGATGGTTGTCTAGGACAGTGTCGTTGTAATACAGATAAAAACAAGGGAGGAGTGGGAAGTGATCGTTTGTACAGGTGACTGCCTTGGTTAGGTGGTTTCGACTTTATTTACCTTTCGTGGTTTGCAAAACACGTTGTTTGCTTATCGATAATGTTTGTTGTTGTTTTTTTTGGGGGGGTTGTTTTTGTTTTTGTTTTTTTGTTTTTGTTTGTTTGTTGTTGTTTTTTTGTTGTTTTTTGTTTGTTTGTTTGTTTGTTTAATTTGTTTTGTTTTGTTTTGGGGTTTTTTTTTGCTTTTTGTTTGTTTGTTGTTGTTGTTGTTGTTGTTTGTTATTGTTGTTGTTTTTGTTTGTTTGTTTTTGTTTTTGTTTTGTTTTGTTTGTTTGTTGTTGTTTTTTTGTTGTTGTTTTTTTTTGGGGGGGGGGGTTCGGGATAGTGTGCGTGTGAACTCACCATGTCAGGGCTGTTTGACTGTAATTGATTTCAACTACGTAAACTTGTTCCTACTCTTACTTGCGACTGATGTGCATGGGAAAGAATCAAATGTTACACACATGGTTTTTACTCGGCTGCCTTTGTCCTACAAGAACTTCAAAGTCACATCATTTGACGCCCCCGCGAAGGTTGAAGATCCATAAAAATCCTGGTTTGTCGTAATATCTTCACAAGCCCATCAGACGACAGCAGAACAGTACAGACAGGGAGCCAAACTCCCAGTATCAAGATAAAAGTGCAAGTAAAATTTAACAACGATGGGAACATCTTTCCACTTACTTGTGGCTTTCGCTGTTGCTTTATGCACAGCATCCCTGGCAACAGCACAGGATGGTAAAATTTTTGTTGTAGTTTTTTTTAATCACTATCTATCTATCTATCTATCTGTCTATCTATCTATCTATCTATCTATTTATCTATCTATCTATCTATCTATCTATCTATCTATCTATCTATCTATCTATCTATCTGTGCGTTCGTCAACAGCCACACTGTCTTCTTCAACAAGAACGTTTATCTAGTCACTGTTGCTTTAAATGTTACGGTATGAACAAACAGATTTTAGGCCACAATTAATTATTGCAAAAATAGATAGTCAACAAAGGATTTAAAAAAGGGTAAATAATTATTTTAACAGTCTTACCATTTATTGGATAGATCTACTTATTTATCGTTTTGAAATGACTGAAATGTGTCCTATAATTATAGTACAGTAGTCAGTATTAAACCTCTTCAGAAGTTAGGTAATGAACGTTTTCGTCTGCTTGTTGTATTTCGTCGAACTTGCAATTAACAATTAACTGGGGTTTCCATTCATCTCTGCGGTGGGTATGGTATCCTCTGTTTACCAAGCAGCAAATGAATTACCATCTCGGTTGACGCAACAACTAAAATAAATTAAACTTAAAAAATAAAAATGCAAATAATAGCACTCAATTCCTAAAAGCCCTTCACCTTGGAGGTTATAGGCTAAGCATAATCATTCTAGAGTCCTTGCCATTCACACGGTGTCCCTTGTGAGAATGAGACAATCTAGTAGACCGAAACTGCCGACCTAGAGAGGGCTATTATGATGTTATCTAATGTCTGAATCTTTGTGTCTATGACTACAAGACTTTAGATTTAATTCATGCTATACCATACTTTATTATTCATTATGAAAGTGGCTATTCTCACCCGCCCGGAAGTTCTCGCAAGATCAACTCCTCCCCTCTTTTCTCTCTCTCTCTCTCTCTCTCTCTCTCTCTCTCTCTCTCTCTCTCTCTCTGTCTCTTTCTGAATACTGTCTATCGGTGTGGACGATCAAATTGACCAAAACAAAGTTAAAAAATGATGTTAAAACACAAAAGTAAATTAATTTGGTTGTCTACAAAGATGCTACGGCTATTTAACTTTTCGAATCGAGCCGAACTACGCGGGTCGCCATTTTGTTTTGTCCGGAAATTCTCGCGCTACTCCTCTCTCTCTTTCTCTCTCTCTCTCTCCACTGCCCACAGACAAAATTGTACGCTTTTAGTAGGCTACAGTTGTAATGGAACGTTTGTTCACGGCACAGAATTCTACAATTTTTCTGTTATCACAGTGTAGAATTCTGTGGTTTAGGGTGAACGCAAAATTTGGTGAACGCGCACCGGGTGAGAATAGCCACAAGACTCGCCTGCACTATTCTCACTCCGGGTGAGAATAGAGGTGGCCATTCATTATCAGGTTATATGGTGCTCAGTTTCTCTCGTACATTAAGGCCATATCAATTGCCGCTTTTAAAGCGAAAATCAATTAAATCTATTTTATTTTCATGAACACTTTTATGGAAATTATTGGTACTGCGATACTGTATCCTTAACTTTCTCCAACACAGGATGAGTACAATGCACCTCTTCTTATAGTTTCTCGTTCAATCTTTTCCAATTTTATCGGACCACCTTGCATAAACTATTAACGCTTTGAGGGCACAAACTCTGGTCTTTCAACAACGCTTGAAGTTGAAGACGCAAACTATTACAGGACACTTTAAAGGAAGAAGTATGACTTTGTCAATCCTACTTACACCATTTTCCTTTCGATTTTCTTTATCTGAAACTTGGAAAGGCAAACAACAACATGCATGCTGAGAAATATGCACATTCTTATTTCTGATTCGTGTAATTGGCACAGTTAGGTCTTCTGTCGAGCAGAGTATCTGCCCGCTATGTATTTAGAGAGTTAACATCACACACGTATTATAGGGCGAAGAACCCAGAACACATGAACTAGTTCTGAGGAGCATCGCACCATAATTAAAATGTGTGTGTTGTACTGTGTCTTGTATGTTATTTTTCTATTGTAAACAGATTACGAGTTCTACTACGACTACGACAATTTGTTGTCGTTCTTCTCGACATCCGAACCCCAAGGCCCGGTGAACACACCAGTGTGGGGCCCATGGTCTGGGTTCGGACCCTGCAGCACATCCTGTGGGGGCGGCATCCAGTCTAGATCTCGAACCTGCAGCACAGGAAACAACAAAGACTGCACAAACCAAACTTCCCTTGCTGTGGAGAGTCAGAAGTGTAATACACAGGACTGCCCAAAAACAAACGGTCAGTAGCGTGTATCTCCGCTTAATTAGATTGTTAGGCAACGACAAAGAGAGACGTTATTGTTTTAGTGTATCAAATTCAACAAGACAGTTGTTTGCATTTACATTTCTCTCTCTCTCTCTCTCTCTCTCTCTCTCTCTCTCTCTCTCTCTCTCTCTCTCTCTCTCTCTCTCTCTCTCATATTAAAAAAAACACTCTTTATTCGCAGCCCCATCTAACAACACTTCAAGCAATGGTCAATGCGGACAAGCGAACAACTTCCGAATTATCGGTGGCTCCAAGTCCGCTAGCTGCGAGTACCCGTGGATGGTGGTGGTTTTCGACCACAAGAACGGCTTCCTCTGTGGAGGGTCCATCATCGACGAGAGCACGATCCTCACAGCTGCCCATTGTGTGGCGAACAAGAACTCGTAAGTTCAAGCACCAAATAGCTTACTTGAATCTGTTTTTGAAGTAAGAATCCAATTCGTATATGAATTTTAAGATACCTAAGTATTTGACGTGAGTTTTGGGCTTGCATTACGATAAACATGTGTTTATGCTGTTGGTGACTATAATATTATTAGGCCTTTTATCAGTAAACCGGTGTTGTTCCTCTGCAACTTTAAACTTAATGAATTAAAGGTATCTTATTCAACCGAGTTTCTTTTTCTGTAGGGACTAGATCTGATAGTAACTCGTTCAGTATAATATATTCTCATTAAACTATTGTATTGATAACAGCTACTTTATGTACGTTAGCTTTTATTCTATAAAGGTGGTTAGGCTCTCGGACTCGCAACCGTAAGGTCGTGGGTTCGAATCCCGTCAAGGGCCCGACGTTGTGTCCTTGGGAAAGGCACTTTACACGAATTTTCCTCACTTAACCCAGGTGAGAATGGGTACCCGGCTATAGACAGCGAAAGATGTTGTCAGTTTGTTAGTGTTTGAGCGCTTAATCGGCTGCTCGCACTGTATGCTTCCCGGGAAGCTGAGAATGTTCCGGAGTGTACTATGGTCTGCCGGGGTAATAATATAGTGTAAAGCGCATAGAGCCTGCTGTTGAGCGGGGATATGCGTTATACAAATGCTATCCATTATTATTATTAAGGTAGCTCGTCTGTCAATGTCTGTCGATGACCAATGCATCTGCAGAGGAGAATATTTCTCCGGAGAAATAGAAGAATTTGAAGAATTCTACTGTGGCAGATGAGACCAATTCTATCAGAGAAAAGTTCGCCACATTTTGAAACATTTAGAGGCTCCACTTCCACTTGGGGACGTGCGCAGCTAGCGGGCTTCTCTCTTTGTTTCAGCATCTTGTTATTATCTTACATATCTTAGTTGACTCTTGCATTGTTGTCCTTTATGTTCCCCAGCCAAGGAAAGGAAGTTCCTTCAGCCCCGTCTGACATGGCCATCTATTCCGGCTCTTCCAAGTTTACTCTTGACTCCCCTCCACCCCCCGGTCTTCGTGCCAACAGTGCCAGCAAGATCATCGTGCACGAGAAATACAACGTGAGCGGCTACCTTGGTGTGTGAGAACAACGCTTGTGGTGTGACTACTCGCAGGATAAATTAAATTCATGGAGGGGAAAAATAGACTGCTTTTCCCTTCTTCTTCACATTAATTTAGAAGTAGAACGTATAAGAACATTTTCAATTTGACACCGTTCAGCCTCGTTATCTTCAGCATGTTTTCTTTTTTAAGGTAGGTGTATTTACTTACGCCGCCCTTGACATACTTTAGTTCATTAAGGACACGGGCTGCAATCCTGCTTGCGAGAGTCAGCCGGGCTGGGGTATATATATTTATATATTTATATGTGTCCCAGCCGAAAGTCTTAGATAAATTGCACATGAAACCGTTCACATTTGCTGCACTTAATAAGAGTAAACAATATTCTTTTCCTATCTTACATCATGTATTGGTACGTCTGCATAGGGGAATAATTTAAAGAGAGAGAGAGAGAGAGAGAGAGAGAGAGAGAGAGAGAGAGAGAGAGAGAGAGAGTGAGAGAGAGAGAGAAAGGGAGGGGGGGGGGGGGTGAGCGAGAAAAAAAGAAAAAGAAAGGGGGCGGAGGGAGGAAAAGAGAGAGATGCAAGGGAGGGGGGGGGGGTGTGGTTTAAAAGAGGAGTTAGGGGAAGACAACGTTGAATTATTTTTATGTTCCTGTTTTTTGTTTATTTTTTATTAATTTTAATTTTTTTTTTTTGGGTGGGGGGAGGGGGTATTTCATTTGGCTGATTTTATTTTTGTTATGGGTTTGTTTTTTTGTTGTTGTTTTTTCTTTGCTGTTTTTTTTTATTATCGCTCCCTGCTAAGTTGGTTAATTTATCTTATATACACAGATAACGACATTGCCCTAATCAAACTGAGCAAACCTCTGACCTTGGACCGGTGCCAGCGTCCAGTATGTCTGGTGGACGGCTCTAAGACACCACAGCCCCCCCCCCCCCTGAACACAGACCATCTTGAAACTACAGCGCGTTCAAAACCAAGCTGCGAGAGTCGTCTTTTTAAAAAGAGGAAAAACAACCAAATCACCCTTATCATCACCCCTATATTTAGAAAACTCCATTGGCTGGCTCCCAGCAGTTTCTAAAATTACTGTCCTGTATCATAAATGAGTTGACAATATAAAGCCCCCTCCTATACCAAAGCAACCATACTCAAACGTATGATGTACCACCAAGATCTCTTAGATCAGGAGATAAGTCTTCTATGAAAACACTTAGGAAGGGAGGTCAAAACTCGCTACTAGGCGATGGTCCTTGTCTTATACTTGTGTATATCTATCTGGCACTCTCTCCCTCACCTTTTGAGGCACACAAGGTCAGAGGAAAAGTTTAAAATTCATTTAATTATGGTGCGGTCAAAAAAGCATGCTACAACTTATTGTCGAATATTTTCCTGAACTATCGAATATATAGACTCTCCAACTTTTGCACAATGACGTGTATCAGTTTGTCTTAACAGATCAAATGTTTTTAAAAAATTGTACTTGTTAGCTGTTTTCTAGGAAATTCTTTAATTAATAAATACAAATTTTTTTAATCCAAGCTGATGGTTTCTGCAGATTTTTATAAAGGTCTGCAGCTGGGGCAATATTGCTTTTAAAAAGCAAGTCCGTTATTTATTTATCTTTTTTTTTATCGCGGCATCATTCTTACTGAACGCTTGTTTTGAGAATCTTTAGTGCAAAAAATGAGTTCACTATTAAATTAATTACTTGTACATGTAACAAGTTTTGCCACAAAACAGTGTCATCGGTTTACAGTGACGCGTGCCATAATATGCGTACCGGGGTATGCAAAATGTTTGTGAGAAGCGAAAAGTGCTGTGAACAATCCCACTTTCCCCGTTACGGAGATCTGTAGTATTTTATAAAACTTTACAATAAAAGCTTTTTAATCTAGTCTCAATTGTTGTGGGAAAATGTGATTAAGATAAAAACAAATTGATACAAGCCGCTGTGCAAAGTATGGGCGACATTGATTCACCCGTTAAAAGGATATTTGAGGATAAGTTGCACCAAGAATTTTTGACCGCACTACATGTATAACACAACATACTTATGAAACGCCATCATGATAGAATTCATATTCATAACATTATTATTATTATGTTCGTAACGTGATGTGGGTCGTCATCGGTTTTGTATGATGATAGTATGAATGTCTGCTTATGCTAGCGATAATCTAAAGAGCGTAGGTATGCATGTTAATCATTCACATGTGTTTTGTGTTGAGATGCGGGTATTTTGTGGCGCCTAGAACTGTGTTGCACTGGAGTGGGCGCTGTAGAAATCATCCCCATTATTATCAGGCCTTTTATTTTATTTATTTCATTTTGCCACAGTTTTTCCTTCGATTGGCTTATATTGAATGAATTGTCCACTCACAGACGGCCCAGACGCCGAGTCACCGGACGACATGTTCTGGGCTGCAGTGAGCATCACCTCCGACAAAGCGTGCGAGGCAGAGTACGGACGTTACGGTACTGTCACTGCTATGTGCGCCATGGGAAATAATGAGGGTTCATGTCAGGTAAGTACATTGATGGCACGTGCTACATGTATTTAGTAAGTTTGAGAAAGAGTTTTACGGCACTTGACACAAACATTAACTTTTAGTGATTTCAGTTGTTTCATTCATTTGCCTACATTAAGATGGAAAACAAACAACCAAACAAAAACCCCAATGTCAACTTCCTTCCAAGGGAATATAACCTTCACTCACATCATGATCACCGACCCAGCTGAACAGAATCACGTGCATTCAATCAATACTGTTTTAAGTGTTTAGTGACGTAAATCAGCTGTTTTAGTAGGATGAATACTATCAAATAATATCCCGTTTGCTCCATGTTATGGAAGCTGAAAAGGGGGGGGGGGGTATGTGCTCTCGGGAAGCTATTGACAATGTTTGATTTTTTTAAAGTTGTTTCATTTATTCATTCACTCATTTGTTTATTTATTTATTGATTTATTTTACAAACTGGGCTTTTGATAATGGATACTCATCATTAACAACGGTGGCAAACAAGCCAAATACATTTAAGTTTCTCCATGAGTTGAAGCACATACATCAACACTGTTATTGTACAAAGTAAAAGAAATCATTAGCTTCAACAACGGGAGAAGCTGAAGAGATGGGCCTATCTGTAGAGGTAGAGAATGATAACTTTTCTTACACATACCAATATGTGCCAACTCCAAATCTCAGTAACGAAGCCAGCTACCTGCCCAAAGAAGACTAACCTACCATTCATAGCCAGAGCAGCCAACTCGTCTTGCTGACACTACACAAAGCAGAAACATTACAAAACCAGTGACCACCGTCTGTGTTGTGCAATGTAGCGGTTAGGCACTTCACCGTGGCAAGCAAAAGATTCGAGTTCAATTTTGGAAAGGAAGGAAAACATTTTATCGAGTATCTCATTCTTTCTGCCAGAGGAGACGACTGAACATCATTAATACTACATGTATTATTATTGTTTGAGTTTGACAACTTTACTCTCAACAACCTGTTAAAGATTTAACGTCTTCTTCATCAGCCAAAAACAGATTACACTATACAACCATATAGCTGTGCAACTCGAACTCCAAATTCTAATGGCAAATTACAAATTGCCACCTGGAAAGTTTATGATCTACTGGATCACAGCATCAAGTGCTTCAAAGATGTTAAAAAGCTTCATCGTTCGTAATTATTGGATACAATGTTCAGAAAGCAAGACAAATGTGGTTTCTTTACATCACTCGATATTCTTTATATATAT